ACGTGCAGATGTCAAGCAAAAAAAAATCATTAAATTGCATTCGATAGCTTTCAAAATGGATATTTTCGCTGAAATATGAAACCCGAACTATTTCGTGATTACAATACTTCCTTACAAGGAAGTAATAAATTATCGTCTGCTACTTGATAGTTTCGTTTTAACCCAAAATGGCGTTTTTAAAAGGCAGTGGATGGATTTGCTTGTGCTCTTTCCAAAGAAAATTATTTGTATTTAGTTATTAAAGAATGCTGGGAAGGCCATGATTTTTCTATACTTAAAGCTACGATGGGTAATATTGCCAACAAAAAAAGAAAGAAACGTCAAAGTTTGGCTTCAAGTGGAAAAATTATTTCAAATACATATCCAAGGGGAAAAAAAAAAAAAAAAAAAAGAATTTTTCGTATGTTGCAAATGTAAGATCTTTAATGTTAAAAGAAAATGTGAAAATTCAAAGGACAGCTGCAAAATCATTACAATACCCAATGTCAATTGTAAACAAATTGATTAATGCTGGACTGAATCTCAAAAAGGCGAAAAACATGATGCGCATCGTGTCTTTCTCCACGACATATCGCCGAACGCAGAACGCGCTGCAGATTTTATGAAAAACATTTATCCGGACAAAAATAGAAACATTTTGTCACGCTGGATGAATATTGAATATATTTAAATGACTGCAGTAAAAAGAAATCCATTTATTATCATCAAAGAGGGGGGGGGAGGATTTAAAACATGTTTCAAAGAATCGAAAGAGAGTTTTTCAAAGGGATCTATGTTTGTTGCTGGTTTTTCATATACCATCAAATTAAAAATAAAGAGAGTGGAGAAAAATGTTAAGATCAACACCACATATTATCTTAAATATATTTTATACCCAATTTTCAAATATGAAATACCTTCTCTTTATCCACAGTACCACCATCAATCAGTAGAACTACATCAAGACAAAGCAAGCAGCCCACATCAACATCAAAATCCACTGTTAGTTTTCTAGAAGGAAAAAAAAAAAAAAAAAAAAAAGGAAGAAGAACAAGAAACGGCTATCAAGGCCGTATCCTTATATCTCCTGATATATTATCTATCATATCCCTACTGTATCTCCTGATATATTATCTATGGAGTTTTGCGATTTTGTACTTTTAAAAAGCGGATTGTCCAAACGTCGACCTATAACCCTGGTTGGATTTTGGGAATTTGTTTAAGAAAGAATGGGATAAAATAGCTCCTCGGTACTATAAAAGGCTTTATTTAATGCTGACTATTGAAATTACGGTGTAGAAAGATAGTGAAGAATAAAGGTTATCAAACAGAAAATGTTTAGGTAAAATATTTCTGTAAATAGAAAGAAAATCGTCTAGAAAATGTGCGAACAGCCTCTGTGGAAGTTATTATAAAGAAAAGCTAATACCTTAGATATTATTCATATAAGTTCCGAAATATAAGAATTATTTTATTTTTATTACTTATTCTGTCGGCATTTATAACACACGATTTAAAATAATTGAATTTTACTAGTGGCGTATCTGGAATTAATGATCTGGAAGAAGCTAAAGCCATCAATTGCTTTTAACAAATAACTGTTACATATTACATACATATTAGATCCTTCGTCTTTAGTGCTGTTAGAAGTGATTCAGCTTTTGATCATTAATTGCTGTTATTCATTATTAAATTGAAGAACCAGTAAGCTATAGGTAAGAAGAGCTCCGAAAACCGTCAAAATGAAACTTCGTTTAAAATAAATAATATCGCAAGCTGTCATCACGATAGCGTCTCTGTCAAGGACAACTCTGATCGTTTTATTGAATGCCCCTGTCTCGAGAGTAGAATTCTCATGGATATGTTGCAGTCTTTGTCTCACACGTTGGATGCTAGTTGGTATTTCGGCAGCAAATACGATGATGGCGACTGTAGAGAACATACTTGTGAAAACAATTACAACTACTTCACCAATAACAACAGGTGAAAATTGCTGTTTCTCGAACGTGAGAAAGTAGGCCAACAATGAAAACATATGCAGAAAGTGCATTAGAACTAATAAAAACATCGGATTCGAGAAAGTCTTCTGAAGCAGTTCTATGGCATTCAAGATCTTGAAATACCTCAGTATAAATTCTTTGGAAGGCAGACAGAACTCATCTTCGCACATAAGTAATAGCTCCTTTTCGTAAGAATTCAACAGTCTGCTCAACTGATGGCAAAATGTGCAGTAAACACAAGTCATCAAGCCAGGGAATATTATCTGGAGTGAAGTATAAGCATTTACATTGAAAAACAGAAGGAAACCTCCATAAGGAGACAACTCCTCTACACTGTATCCGTAAGTCCAGAATGTATCATTTGTTTTCGGACTAACGTAGCGAACGCAAATAAATGAGAATGCAGTTGGAGTTGCAGTATACAAAAGTAAGCTCAAATTCGTAATAATAGTATCATACGACTTAGAGCAAATTAAATTATTCATTTGGTGCAATTTATGGATCTTCATGGCAACTTCTTTTAAATTGTCCTTGCTCTTTTTCATGCAGTGCCAAATAACAATTGACAACAGGTTTAGAGAAGCACAAGCTACAATTATTTTAACATCCCAAACACCAGAGTTGATTGCCGTGATTAAAAGCGAGGTATTTGCCAACAAAATAAAGTGCATAACAAAAGGAAACCAGTAAAGATAGAATATGCGAATAAAATTCCTTGGTATATATTTCTCACTAACTGGTATTCCTGTTGCACACAGATATTTCCACAAGAATGCGCTTTCGCTATACGTAGCTGATGAGCAATTTACTGTCGTCTGCTGTACATACTGTGGCTGGAAACTATTGTTTTCAATCTCTGCCATAATTTTCCTTCAGCTATTAAATTGCGCAGCTTAGAAATTTTGACTTTGAGTTCTACGAGTTATCATTCTCGAATAAAGCGGGAAACTTTGCTCCTGTTATCCTGATGAAAATCTTCGAAAAAAATCGGCTTAGGTTCGAAAAAAAAATCGAGTATTATTCAGGACCGATTAATATTCCTGAAAGTTTTGGATCAATAGCATTATGTTATCTGTAAGAGTTTTGTGTATTAAATAATGACAAGAGTTTGATGTAAGTGCTTCCTATAAAAACCAATGTTGGAAACAGCATATTGATTTTTCAGCTCAATTTATTGATCGAAGAATAATCAATATAAAAAAGTGTTCGTTTCAGTGGATTAGAAGACGTTGTGTTAAAAGGCATGCGTTTTTTATGTATGCATCTGATGATGTATAAGTATCGATAGTTTTAACCAGGCCTGTAGAAAAGGTTTTGGACGAAGGACTACATTACCGGTTTAAAAAAAAGACAGGTCATAATAAAATGACATAGTTAGATATAAATTGCTATTATCAAGAAAAGCAAATTCTAACATGAAAAAAAAAATTAAATTTTAACATCCAACAGTTTAATAAGATAGAGGATAATGTTTAACATCTTTTTTAGCCTAGAAGAGCTATTAATTTCGTTTTGGCATTTTGCGTCGATTCACTTTCTGCGTTGATTCACTTTTCAAACTTCTGCCACCAACTATTAGAGCCCTGTATTATATTTAAAAAAATTAAATAATGAAGAATCTACATAAATGTATGTATGTTTCTCGCATAGTGATAAAACAACAGTACCTAGAGCCATCAAAGTTTGAATAACGTACGTCTCCACCGAATATGGGCACCTGGAAGCCTTAATTTGTAATCTGGACTTTGTTTTACTATCTGTTTCATATTTTCTCAGACATTAAAGAATTTTTTATTAACAAACTCAACGATTTCAAAGCGAGCAATAGCAACACAGTACGAAAAAATTAAAAAAAAAAAAAAAAAAAAAATCTCCAGTGCGCGAGACTGTGTATCGGAAATTCTAAAGTTATGCTCATTTTAAAATTGCTCTGCGATATTGCTGTTGAACTGAACTTTATGGTTTAAGTGCAAAGGACATGGTATTTAATAAATAAAGGTAACACACAAAACGTTTAAAAACGCTCCTGTAAGCGATATGTAAATCTTTTTTTTAGCCCAAAGGGACAATTGCCCAGAAGGGCTATTAATAATTTTTTGGTAATTTGCGTTATCCACTATAAAAGGGCGTTTCACTTTTGCCACCAAGCATTAGAGCCCTGCATTTTATTTAAAGAAACTAAATAATAAAGAATCTACATGAATGTATGTATATTTCTCGCACTATGAGAAAACAACGGTACCTATTCGTACTGTGAAAAAAACAACGGTACCAAAACTTTATGTCTCTACAGAGACATCAAATTCTGAATAACTTAGTCCTCCACCCGAACACTGGCGCCTGCAAGCACGAATTTTAAATTTTGAATTAGTTTTATTATCTATTTCATATTTTTTAAAATTTTAACGAATTTTTGATTAACAAACTCGACGATTTCAAAACTAGCATTGGCAACACTGTACGGAAGAAAACACTTATATTTTCAGCGCCCGATACTGTCAATAGGAAATTCTAAAGGTAAGCTGTTTTAAATACTTTATGATTTTGCTGTTGAATTGTATATGTCGTAAGTGCGAATAAAGCAATGATTAATAATAAAGCTAAAAAAAAAAAAAAAAAAAAGGTTAGTAGGAGTGAGTGTAACAGCGGACTAGGTAGACTGCGAGTTCAACAAGAGCGTAAAAGACCGTAACAAACCCTTTTGGGCTGCCGTTAAGTATGAAATATTTCAGATTTTTTTTGAGTATTTATATTATAATGATAGTAAGGCATATTTTTTATTATTATTATAATATTTCCGAGCGTCACAAGCAAATCAATGCTTTCCCCATTTAAGGATATTGTAATTCTGAGTTTAACTTTGTGGTAATCAGCATCTGTGATTTCTCACAATAAAATGGCGATAAAATAGAATATCTTTTAATATGAACGTCACCAAGACTTAAATGTGAGAAAACACTTATCAGTATAGCTGGACGTCGATAAGAAAAAATTCATTTGTGAAAATATTGTTACTTAATAAGCGCATTTGAAAGGTAGCAGTTTCATGATGGCGTTTAAGATCATCATTGCTTTACTTGCAGTTTACTTAGCCATTATACCTGCTTCAGGCTTAAATTATCGATGTCCATCTAAAGATCTTGATCCTTGCTTGTGTGAGGAAGCGTATGGTAAAGTTTATCTGCGATGTACGAGTTTAAAAAATCGTCAACAGTTATTCAATGCTTTTCGCGTGATGAGCGGTTACGACATAACAGAGTTACAAATTGAAAACTCGAATCTGACCCATATCTCTCATGATCTCTTCAGAAATTCCACTGTGGCTCGACTAAGAATAAAGAATTCAATGATGTTCTATCTCTTTGATCGGGACCTTCAATACTCAGCAGATTCCATAACAGAAATAACGTTAGAAAACATAGAATTTGAAGGGGGCTTAGACTGGAGCGTGCTGGAAAATCTCGAAAAGTTGCAGATACTTATCGTCAATGGGTCAGACATCGAGCAGATCTATTACGACGCTTCGGAACTGAAAATACCGCTGGAATCGCTCTTCTTGTCAAATAACGGTATCAAATTCATTTACGAATATGCTTTCCACAATTTAAAAGACTTGAAAATATTGAAATTGGATAATAATTTGTTGAGCAAACTTAATCGCAGCATGTTACCCCAACCCACTTCCGGAGTGCAATTTTTAGATTTCAGGTAAGTTGTAAACATGATATATATCAAAGACTGTGCGTGCACTGTGAATAATGCATTTGGCTACTTCGATGGCTCCTAATTTAATAAAATTACATGGATTCGTAACATTTTTATACAATATTCTCTCATTAAACGCGGGAAAGACGGTGGCAGAATTAACTCCGCTTTGTGCTGGAAAAGTATTCGTTAATGAAGATATCGAGTACTTATACAGTATAAGGAAAAAATATTTACATATTAGCTAATTTTAATGCAACTGAATGAGAAAATTATACGGATGCTCGAAAAATGTGGTTAGATGCTTTATTTGCTTCAAGTTAGATATGAATTCCCAGATTCAAGGTTATTCAAAATTTAATTAAGAATTTCATGCAATCTGTTCAAACATTCTGGGTGGATTATTTCTGTAATTTTAACGTATAAAATTCGTAAATATATAACGTATTCCATATTTAAATGTATAAAATTCGTAAATATATAACGTATTCCATATTTAAATGTATAAAATTCGTAAATATATAACGTATTCCATATTTAAATGTATAAAATTCGTAAATATATAACGTATTCCATATGTATAAAATTCGCATTGGTATTCATAAATAATCTTCTAAAAGCTCCTAACTGTAAACTGAATTACGTGAATTACTTTACTCAATACGAAATCATTAATCGATAAAGTAAACAAATTTTCCTTGTAATTTTATCTTTAAGCCGGTAGTAAACTTTTCAGTTTTTATTGGCATGTTTCTCCTTTCTCACTAGTGTCTCACCTCTCGTGGTCCAACGCGGAAGCATAATGGCAAAACGTAGCCACTGCAAAACAAGTTTCGCTTATTGCGTGTGTTAGTGGATAACTTTGGATCAAAATGAATGAAATTTGCAGAGAAAACTGTTTCGAGAGCGTTGGATTATTTATCAATCCTATCGCCTCTGACTGATGTTTACAATGATTACTATTATTTCGAAATAATATTTAATCCTTGCTGAACACTCACATTAATTGTTTTTTTAATTGCTCTAAGCCGGTATTTAAGTATTTTATTTAAGTTTCTTAACGTATGCTATTTTCAGTAATTATTCGTAAATATTGTGTTTAATAATTATTTTTACTTAATTTGTTAACACATTTTATAATTTACTTAGTAATTTTAATTAAATTTTATCAGGATTATTTTTACAATTTATTCATTGGCTACAACTCTCTGACATTATAATTTTAGCCGCATCACTTAATCCCGCCCACACGGGATAGTGTTAGTGACTCTGATTACCATAACCGAAGGGCCCGAGTTCGAATCCCATGTTGTCTCTCCTGTGGCTTGGTGACAGGAAAGTGGATTTGGATACCTTTGGATCCCCTCCTGGGGTACTCTTCCTCAAATGACGGGTGGAAAGTAGAAGTGCAACGTCTTTCAGGCTCTGGCAACCATTCTTTCATGAAATATGACCTAGACAGCAAAAACAAACAAACGTCACTTAATAATTTAATAACTATTTTCTTGTATTACGTTAATTTATAATTAGAGAACTAATTTTTCTTGTCGTTATTAATAAACACTACATTAAATAAACCTAGACTTAACCCTTTTAGAGCCGAACGACTATATATTGTCGTTCGCAACACTTGCGAAAAGTGCCAACGACGATATATCATTGCGTATCCAATGGTGGCCCACCAGCGGCTGAGCGGTAAAGTCTTTGAATACTGGTAGTTTTGTCCAGGGTTCGAGTCCCGGCAAACAGTCTGGCTGCATGGGATTTTTCGTGGTTTTCCCTGTGCGTAACGTATATACGAGCTACTTCCTCGTAGGAAGACCTCCATGACGGCATCTCTCCCCTTAAGCAGACAGCCCTCGAGTGGCTTGCCACAATTAAATAAACCAAACCATTTCCTCATATTGAGCACTTACCTCATTCTAAATCTTGCCACCATTATAATTTTGTCAACGTACTGTGCTGGGCATGTGCAGTCTACCTTTACGTTACCGGGACAATATTCTCGGTAAAAAGTCAACTAAATGACTGATGGGTATCGGCCATTTCATAAAGAATGCAATAAGTTTTAAAAATGTCCAGCCATTTGGTGTAACATCAACAGCTATCCACAATGCAGAGTATTTATTTACGCTCTGTGAAATAAAGTGCACTTTATTTATATAGAGAAGGGTAGCCTTAAAAGATCTTGGAGCAGAGCTTGTGAGGATTTATTTATTATTTGGAGTGTAGAGTCATTAGGTTATTTCGAAGCAGGAGACGTGAAAAATGAGCAATGCCCTCGCCGAGACTCGTACCTCTGGAATTTGCATCGAGCGTGCTGACCACTACAGCACGAAGGCATGCTAAGAAGGCGGGAGAAAAATCTTATATACTCCCTCTTTTAAAGGGCGACTGGGGTTTTTAGGGGACCAATAACCAAATTGTGGGTGTGGAGAATCATCATCTACCACCCTTTTGGTTGGGGCGCCACTGTAGAGATATTAGGATTTTTTGAAGCAGGAAAGATGAAAAATGAGAAACGCCTTCGCCAGGAATCGAACCACGGACTCTAGATATGCGCCCAGCGTGCTGACTACACCACGAAGGCATGCTAACAAGGGGCAAGAAATACATTATAGGACTAATAGTTAATTTTTAGACACAGTAACTTTTCATGTCGCTCTCCTTTTCACCCACGCTTTCCTTCCAGAATGCAAATCAGTTAGTGCGCGTGTATTTAAATTAAAAAAGAAATATGTGCTATTTAAGCGAAGGCTTCGGAAGTTGATTTTAGAGTGTGTTACGCCTGCTTGTTGGCTACGTTGTCACTTTGACTTCTTGATGTTGTTATTACTTGACGTTGTTACTTTGATTTGCTTTTGTGGTGTTGAGTGCTTCTAGCCATTAAGCTTGCTCTGCCGTCTTCAACGAGTCAGAGCCTTCCTGCGCTGTTAAACTATCCTGGGCTAGTTTAATTACATTTTATTTTAAGTTCAACATTACTTGTTTAAGTCAAGCCAGAAGTGTTGGCGTATGTAAACCTAAGTAGCGTCGTCTGTGAACTCTTTGTGATTGAATAAAGGGTCGTTTAACACTCTTCTTCTGACTTCTGTCTGCTGTCAAGACCCGAAGATAATTCCTCTACAGTCTTACTAGAGCTCTTTAGTTTATGTTACCAAAGAATACGAGACTCTATAAGCTCATTAAAAATTTATTACGTAAAAAAAGAAATGATGTAATTAAAAAAAAAGTATTGCTGATTTGGGATTACTTGATAAAGCAAAGCTCTAGCAAATTGTTTGACATGCAGCATTGTTTGCTTCGTGAAGAAGAGAGGATGTGTGCTATTATTAATTGGAAATGGTTGTCAAAATTAAATCTAATCTTATTTTGAACTTTTCCTAACTATAATGCTAAGAATTAAGATTTGATATATTTTGGCTAATAAATAAAAAGAGAAAAATATAAACTTAAGATGCTAAAATACAAGTTTAGTCGTAGGAAAAAGGTTTAAGTTCGAAAATCACGATGCATTGATATTTTCGATAAGTCACTTTCATTGGTAATTATTATTACAAAAGGATCTTCAAATCTGTCTGCAGATGCCATGATGCTTTTATATACAGGGTGACGCAAAAGTCCGTTAACATTTTAAAATTCAATAATTCACTGAATAATGTAGGTACAGAGATAAAAATTGACATATGTGCTTGAACTATCTTGAGGTTTTATTGAAAATGAAAAAAAAAAAAAAAGTGCTTAAAACGGCCAACTGATGGCGCTTCATATGATAAAAAAGTATAAATTAGCATAGCAGTTGATTTTTAGCAAAGAGTATGTTCTTTTTGATAAATGTTCATCAACAATACCTGTAGTTAAGGGACTATGCTTTGATCAGCACTGTACAGCATATCTGTTGACATGGTGAGAAATTGCGGTCGGACGTTGTCTTTTAGCATCCCTAATGAGGTTGGACGATCTCGGTAGACTTGCAATTTCAGATAATTCCACAACCAATAATCACACGGATTGAGATCTGGATTTGTGAGAGGCCAAGCCTGACAGAAGTAGCGGCTGAGCATGCGATCCTCTCCAAATAATGTGTGCAAGAGATCTTTGACATGTGTAGCAATACGGAGTGGAACGCCATCCTGCGTAAAAGTCATACTTTCCAACAGGTGTTTATCAACCAGACTCGAGACAATGCGATTCTGTAACATATCAGCCTACTTCGTACCGTTGAATACGCATTTCCTCGAAGAAAAAGGGTCCGATCACGATTGATGTATTAAATCCAATTCACACCGTGACCAACACCCAGAGGAGAGGATAGAAAAGTGACTATGAAAGTACTGATTCCCTGTTTCACTATGGCTCATTTCATACATGATTCTCATGCGGCATTTACGGACATTTTGCAGCCCAGCACCATATTTTGGCTTTTTTGCGCCCCCTTTTTTTTTTGCTTTCAATAAAATCCCATGTCATTTCAAGTGTCAATTTTTACCTCTCTACCTATATTATTCCATAAATTATTCAATTTTCAATAGTAAGCGGATTTTTGGATCACCATGTAAGTCACTGCTTAGCTACAATTAAAAAGGTTTTCATTTAAGTGTTTCATAAAACAGAATTTCAGACGCATTTACTTTCATTCTATAAAAGTAACTTCGGAGTTCCTTTTTTCGAACTACTGTCTTTCACTTGATGTTTTGAATGGAGGTTATTTTATCAACGTAAGAACAACTGAATACCTGTGATGAATACAGAAGTGGTCTTGTATGCTATACTTTCTTAGGAAAGTACAGTATACAAGATGAAATCTTTTTCCTGCTTACTTATTTATACGATTTTTACTTTCGACAAAGAAATTCGTAAGTTCAGAGCAAAAATCTGTTTGCTGGAAAGCATTTCGATGATCGAGAATGCTTCAGTTGTTCTAAATCTTTCAATAATTATACTTTTTCATCTCTATATTTCATCTTAGAAGGTGATGACCAAATAAATTTAGTGACAAAGGC